GCCACAACCCGCCGAGGAATGAAGTCAGATAGCCCTGATTGTGTCAAAGAAGAAGACCCTGTCAAATCAACACAGACATCGCGACCACAATCCCAGGAATAAAGTAACACATCCGCGGGTCTGAGGGCCTCGTCGTTCCCTCCGGCCAACCTAATGTCAACCTCTTTTCTCGCTGAAATCCCAGAACGAAAGCAAACATCAACAAGGGTATCCCGAACAACATTATGCCGATGTTTAATACCCACAATACCAGCACAAGACACTGCGTGATCACCGAAAATATCTCCAGCAAAAACCCTCGAACAAGCAGAGCACAACGTCGAGATAGAGAACAATGGTACACCCAACCGATAGGACAACACATAGCGATAAGTCTTGGCGTTCATCGTCTGACCCAACCCTGAAATAGGAACCGCCCGAAGCCAAGCAGAGGTGTGATCACCTTGCTGTGATTTCCATAATGCTGATTGTCGAGGAGTTAAAGAATAAGCAGATTCTGCAGAAGCGGTAACCTTTGTGAAATATATATCTGCCAATTTCTTCATGAGTTTAGGGGCAGCGACCTCACTAGGATTACTCAAAATGTCAGACTCCACTGTTCCATTAAACAGACTCAACGCATCCTCAAAGGCTCGTCCAAGACCAACAATGCCAGCATGCCGAAGAAGTTGTGTCTGCAACCCAGCAGACTGTAACCGAGAAGCAAGAAAAGCATAGTGACGAACATCACCTGCAGAATAAACACCAAGCCCTCTAAACGCAAATGGTAAGGTGGCAAGTCGCCACTGCCAATCACCAAATCCCGGCCCCGAAGCAGTAACAATACGCTCCATGGAAGATCGAAGAGCTGCATCAAAAGTGCGCTGAGCCACCTCAAAAGTACTAGGAGGACAAGTACGCAATGCAAAGTAGAGTTTTGAAACTCCAGTACATGCCCTAAGTAACAACAGCTCACACTGAGGATCATCGAGCATAGCGACCTTATCCATAAGGGCAATGGTCTTGGTCACCCTCTGCATCACAAGCTCACCACTAAAACCAGAATCGGAACTAGCGGGACCTCCAAGCAACCTAACACCACGCAAAGGTCGAGCAATATTAGGTGGAAAGACACCCACCAGCCTGCTTCGAGGGTCTTCTGTAGGCCAGAAAACTTCAGTTTTTTCCACATTAAGACATAACCCAGAACGAGGTCCTTCCTCCATAATCAACTGCAGAACTTGCCCCACCACCAAAGTGTCACCAATAATCGTGCCGTCATCTAAATACCAAGCCTGAAGACATACATCAAAATTCTCTCTGATTTTACACACCAGGGGTTGTAAAACCAAAGAAAAAAGCAAAGGACCAAGGGGATCACCCTGCTGCACCCCTTGAGATGACCATAAGGTTTGGTCCCCATAGTACAACCTGGCTGGATTAGAATAGCATAATTCTACCCATCGCGAAATGCCCGGACAACGACGACGTACCTCACGTAACATGACCGAACGATCAACCAGATTGAAGGCAGTTTGAAAATCCACCAACAACATAGATAAACCAACATCAGAACCACGGTCCTCAATCAACCGATTCACCGCATGAAGAATTGCCTCACCACCTGAAGAAACCCCAACACCAAATTGAAGGCCATCAAAGTAACTCCCTAAAAACTGACCAACCATAACAGCACCCACCTTCGAAACGAGACGCCGCCAAACCGTACCCACAGCAATAGGACGGATACCACCACCGGGCTTGACAAGTGGCGTAAGAGGAGCACTAGCAATGTACTCTCCTAATTCCATAGGACATCTCCCAGCTAGAAAGAGATTAACCACCCCAGTAATAGAGTCAACCAACTCATCTGATACTGCCACAGCCACACCACTCAAGCAATCCATAAGATGTTGAGCACGCAAACCATCCCTACCACATGATGTGCCACGAGGGAAACTCCTAATCCGATCCAAAACAACAGCAGAAGTCGTAACGAGATGAAGGTGATCAATAGGTATATCAGGCAAGGATGGAGATGGAGATGAAGGGTGCTTTGACTGTAAATCTGCAAGAGTGGCGTCATTATAAGGTGCAACGCCTGCTGAAGAAAGAACCCGAACCGCAGCAGTGTAATGGCCATCGCAAATCTTCCTACGACACTGCTTAATATTACGCTCTTCCAAATCAATGTCCTCATCATCAACCATCGACAAAGTAGGAGAATCCTCTGCCAAAATTTCCCTCACAAGCTGCAAATTACCACCCGCTACACTCCAAGAACAAATAGCACGGGAAATACTCTCTTCTTGATGCCGACGTCTTACCGAAGACCGAGACTCACGACTACTCCGCGGGCGAAAGATTTTAAGGATGCAAAGAGGTAACACCAACAAAGAGACCCAATTAGAAATGTCATCAGCCTTAGAGATCACCTTATCAAGAGCACCTTTCAGAACCCGAGAAAACCCCAAACGACATTTGGGAGGGATAGACTTAACAGAGCGAAACCCCTTAGAGAATAAACAATCAAGGAGGGCCACATAAAAACCACCGTTATGATCTTGCACCAATCCATCCATACGATCAACTCGAGCAGGAGAAGAAGGAGATTGCGGCTTGGTGAAATTATGAAGCACAAAACGAACAACACCATCTCCTTCATCAGGGGTGACACATCCTCATCCCCACGATGACGACACTTAATACGTACCGTGTGCGTTTTATAGAAAACTCCACATAACCAAATCCCCATACGCCTAAAAGTAACTTCTGCCTCATTATAAACAGCCAAATTAGAAGTAAGAGAATGTCGGGTGATATCTCGCGCACCGATACAACAATGAAATTATTATTATTATTATTATTATTATTATTATTATTATTATTATTATTATTATTGTAATAAGAGCTTAAAAGAATGAAATTTGGCTTTATATCATTAGCAATATCAATAGACATAAACTGAACTAAACTTAACAGATTAGAGCTGAACTGAACTGAACTGATTAGAGTTGAACGTAATTGAACTGAAAATAAATGTACAGGAGCAGACCTTTAATTACAAGGGAATTCTTCTTACCCACTAAAAAAATAAACAAATATAATAAAATTAGATAAGGGTTTTTCTTTGACTATATACCGTAAGTACATCATTTTCTATATACAAGCTCACATTAGAAGAAAGTTTTTCTTTGACTATATATCATAAATACATCATTTGCTATATACAAGCTCACATTAGATGAGACTATGAGAGTTTGGCTATATAGAGGTACACCAAAGCTTCATCCCCAAAGGGCAAAATCAATTAGTCTTCTTCTCTTATTTTATTCACTCTTTTGTACTTCCAACTAACATGAGGTTCAATAATCTCTTCTTGAACTATTGGTTCTATTGGCACTCTTTCTCCACATAGATTTTTGAATTCTCTTCATTTTGCATAATTCTTTAAATTAATGGTACATCCGTTTTTTTCAACTAGTAAAGTAGTAATGGGATAGGAACTTAAATTGCTCTTTATATCATGATGTATTGTTTTTATTGGGCTTATACACAAGTCATTTTCTAATGGGCTTAACACAAACCAACATCATAACATCAATTGATACTCTTTCCGTTTCAAAATGTTCTTCTTATTTTGACCTTTTTAAAAGACAATCACTATCAAAGCAAGAAGTTCATTTAGGAGCGAAGATAGTAATAAATAGAATAGTCTACCTGATTTATCTATATACATACAATTATTTTCAACTCGCATATTTATCAATCTTTTAATAATAGTATCATATAGAGATGACAAGTCTTATTTATATCCAATTTCAACTTGTTTCATATATCTAAGCTATCAAATGTAGGAAAAAAAAAAGGTAGCAGCAACAAGTTGAATTCTCACCATGCTAACTTGTTTGGGGTCATATTCACTTCTATATTCAATGACCTTAATAAAAGGATGATATAATTGACATCAATCAATTAGTTGTAACTATTTTCATAGATTGGGGTCGAGTTAACTACAAAAGGTCCACTTTGTGACCAAAAGGGCCAAAATAGAGTAACTTCCTCCTTTGTTCATCTTTACACTTTACAATAACGGTTGTTAAATATTTTCCTAAACAATCATTGCATATTTGATTTATAGTATGTCAAACATAAAGCTTTTTACCTATTTTTGAAAGGTTTGAAACTTTGACGAACAAATCAAAGAAGATATATATAAGAAATTAATTTATGCTTCTTTTAGGTTGATTAGTATAACTATAACTTTTAAGACTTTAATACCTTTTACCTATCTAGTTAGTAATCACGGCCACTTAAGGAGGAGAAAGGATAAGCGAATCTACACCCTTAAAGCTCTCATATTGGATATCTTTGTATTATATTAAGCTTGTGAGGTATATATATATTATAAGTCAAGTACTTATTGATAAATCCTCGAGACATTAAGCTTAAAACAAATCGGTGGGTGAAAAACTGAAAATCATCAAGGAATTTTAAAACGTCTGATATTTTGACTGATCTTTTAAGGTTGAAACAGGAAAATGTCAAAAGAGAAAATTTTTCACTTCTAGAAACTTGAAGGTCGTGAACAATGTTCTATTGAGGTTATTATAATGCAAATCAACCTTATGTGTACCATATATATGTATCTAGCAACGTTGAGGAAAAGTATACAGAAAGTTCATTCATATTTTAAGAAAGTTCATTCATATTTTAAGAAAGTTCTTCAGCTGTCCAACTGTGCACTTTTCCAAATAAAGTCAGCTGTGGACTATAAAAAGTACTTCATATGTGTAGAAAAATGTTAAATTGCTCGAGTTCCAGTATACTAAACATGGTAATATAAATTGTCAAAACCGAGAACAATTCGCGATAAAGAAACATCGTTCTTAAACACCTTAATAAGGAAAGGATAACAATACATGAAACTGAGACCAAAGGGAGTATAAGTGAATAAGTACTCGGTAAGTCCGTAATACTTTGTAGAAGTTTCAAACCTTTCTCAAACTTATATTTTGCCATTTTACCTTCGAACATATGCACATTTTATTCAGATTTTAAAGATTACAAAGAGGGTAACAGACTAACAGCCATACAATATTGTAGAGTTACAAACTAGTCAGTAAATATCATATACTGTAGGTTTTTCTTTTTACATACAATGATACAAAAGACGTACCAAATTAAAAAATGAAAATTTCTTCTAAACAGAAAGGTTTCAGGACTCATTGTTCAGTTCTGCTACTTGCAGTTTCCAAGACTTGGAATCTTCTAACTCATCCTGTCAACATTATTAACAAAAAATCAGCAACTTCATGGTACAAATTCAATACATTCACATCAAATCATTATAATTGAATCTTTACATCTTTGTGAAAAATAACTAGCAACTTTAAATTTGTAGATAAATCATCGCCGCCAAAATATTTCCCATCTCTCACTCTTTATTCAATTAACTCATCATGCTTCACCATATTCATATCAAATCGATAGATAAATAACTACCAATTTGTCAATTCAAAAATAAATTGAAATGAAAACAAGATGTCACTGTATCTCACTCTTTTTAAGTCTGTATCAATTAAAGAACTAAGGTAAGTTCCTAGGGCATCTCATCATTGGACTAAGAGATAGCAGCACTCCCTTCACAAACAAGATGGGCCGAGGCCCAAAGCACTCACTATGCTGTTTCCAAATTCCCGAAACCTACTTATTATTCATCTAATCATCTAGCGTAAGCTGAAATGATGCACCATTAAAAAAAAAATAGAATAATTCTCACCTAAAAGTACGGAATATCAACAATTTGCATTTCAATAAGGAAAAGATAGAATACAATTCAATAATACTTCATATCAAACACGTAAACATGTTATTAGCCACTACATTAATTATTTATTCTGACAGTGATTAGAATTTAAATATTTGTACGGAGATTTTTAAGCTTGTAGAGGGTACAACTAACTTTACCTGAAACATTTTCTCTCTCCATTGGAATACACAACCACGGGCTTCTAGATGTTCAAAAAGTGGCTGTGGAAGCAAGGTTTTGAATGACGAATGAAGCTTGACTTTAGTCAACCCTCCACAAGCCAGTAGGGCTGCAGCTAAACCTCTTGGGCTCAAGCCTTTCAAGTGCAAAATGACCATGCTCTGTAAACAGCCTATGCTTGCTAGGGACAACAATCCAACATCTGTAATCGATGTACAAGACATATTTATCTGTGGATCAGAGACAAGATAAAGTCATCAAACATTGTTCACCCCAAAATTTTGTAGCAAGATGTGGCATTTTAAATTGAGAGGAGGAAAGAGTTGAAGTCTTAAAATATTTACAAGAAAAGAAGCAGAAGAAGATACCTCTTTAAGATTCTGAGAAAAGTGAGCGAGAGGTAGGACTCCAAAATCGTTGATTTTATAGCACTTCTTTATATCTAACTTGGTGAGGTGCTTACAACCAACGGCAATAGCTGCTATACCAAGAGATGTAATGAGAGGACATCCACGGCATTCTAAGGTGCTTACTTTTGCACATTTTGACATAGAAATCAAAGCAGCATCTGTGATGCCACTGCAGTAGGATATGTTGATCATTTCTAGACTAGGACAACCACGAGCAATTGCTGTGATGCCTGAATCGGTGATCTCCATGGACCTGATCCAGCAAACAGCATTAGACATATGCAAGGAAATGTGTAACTAATAATAATAATAAATAAACAAATAGTTAAATAAAATAAAATTTTAAAAATAAACGCACCCACACATCTTTGCAGTCCTACTTACAATAATCACATGGTTTAAAAACACATCAAAGTTCAAAATTGTAGGGACAATGATTCAATGAAAATCACGTACTGTTTTCCAGGACCTTCTCTTCCAGATTCTCAGTATAAATATTATTTATTTATTTATTTATCCTATTAGCAATTCTCAACAGTACATTCCATGCTTGATGAAAATCCCCATTTTAGACTTTCATGCATGGAAAGTAAAAATTAATTTCAGGGATCTGTTCTCTGTAGTTAGATGTCATTGTTCTCTACTAGTCTCTCCCTAGATTACACGATTCATGGCTTTTTAACAAAGGAGTACAATAAAAATTGATGGACAAACTTGTTGCAGAAGCGAAGATTAGTTAAATGACATAAATTCATAAGTTTTCGGCTGGGTGGAGTATAATTTGTAGTGCAGTGCCTCAAGCACTAAATCCCTGGCTATATACTTCTCACTCATAGGAGCCTTTTGAAACAGTTTTTAGGAGTAAAACAACTGCTCTTAAAATTTTGGACTGTACAGACAACTAAACTTAAGCTACTTGGCAGTGAAATATAAAAATATTAATCCACAAACCTGTACAAGTCAAGTTCCACAAGCTTTGAACAGCGATTTCCAATAAAATTCAGCCCCTCATTGGTTATGTTCAAACAGATTCCAAGTTTAAGAATCGACAGATTTGAGCACTTGGAGATGGACTTTAGACCTGCATAAAAACGACGGCTGTAAGCTCGCTGCAACAATACAAGAAAACATCCAAAAAAAACTTAAATAGAATGCAAAAATCAAACCTTCATCATCTATCTCATTATCAGTAAGGTCAAGTTCCTCAAGTAAATTGCATTTCCGACCAATTAGAACAAAGGCTTCCCTAGGAACCAAAGTACAAGATTCCATCCTCAGAGAAGTGAGAGACATGCAGGAATAGGCAACATGGGCAATAGATACGCAAGTTAACTTCCGACAACATGTAATGTCTAACTTCCGGAGCTCCTTTTGCTTCTTAACTAAAGAGGACAAGCCTTCATCAGTCACACCAGAGCATTTACTCAAGCTCAGCTCCCGTAGTGAAGCACAATAGTTCCCAATGGCCTGAAGACCAGAACATGTAACTAGGCAACCATCAAGTTTGATTGATTGCAATTTAGACAGCCTCTGTAAACTACGAGCAAGATCAAGAGTGACCTGAAAATACAAGACAAGGTAAGAAACAGGGCAGATAATCTACATATTATTGATTTTAAATGAAGAGAAATCTTACAGGAGAGCCGTATGCTAACGTTAATTGTCGCAGACAGCCAGTCCCACTAGTCAATGAAGATAACCCTGTGTCGCTCACATTCTGGCAACTTGATATGTCAAGATTCTACAAACACAAGAACACCAATTAGGACAATTATTTCTTCCTTCAATGAAAATATATATATATATATATATATATATATATATATATATATATATATATATATATATATATACTAGGGCAGTCATTTAATTTCATATGAGTAACAATACCTTCAGTGACTTAGATCCTTGCTTCAATAAAATAAGGCTGTCATCGTCGATCCCAAAGCAACCTTCTAGAATCAGCTCTTCAAGATACTGTAGCTTCAATATAGCTGGTAAGCATTTACTAGTGATCTGAATCAAGAAAATACAGCAAAATCAGACTTTTCCTTTTCATTAAGCAGCCTGGTAGCCTAACATGTTTGAATGATATTCGTTAAAGTAAAAAACAGAAGTAAGAAATATGCTTTCAAGCTACTTTCTAGAATGAACCAAGATTTGCTAATTAAACATGCGATAAATTAGTTACCATTAGTGCTCAATATCAATGACCACCTTTAGCTAATAACTATCACAAAACTTCTAATAGTATCAGAAAAGGGGCTTTCATATCATCTCATCAGTCATTACCAAATGAAATACCAACCTAAACAGATTCGAGTGCGGAAAACACAAACCAAAGGTGTCAATATCATCGGAATACTCCAGAAAAAGCATATGCCACAAAACTGATTATACCCTTCAAGCAAAAAATATAAATCAGATTCCAGCACAATATCAAATAAACAAACAGCTTGTAATACTTCTTACCAGAATCATACATACACCAAGAGAAACATTGGCAACGCAAAATAGACCCAAATACTCCCTTCGTCCCGTCCCGTCCCTATATGATTGCCCCATTTGACTTTCCACGGTCAACAACACACATCTTTAACCATCAATATCTTCAGTTACAATAAGATGATATAAAGAATATATGTAATCAACAAACACACAGCATTTGGGACTTGAAAAGTGGCAAACTTGCAATCAATGAAGGTTAAATTCTGTCAAAAATGATTCCAAATATTTCTTTTTTCACTAGTTACAGAAAATTATACTACGTACTTCAAATTCAATGATAAACATGCATTATAAACCCATAATGAAACTATCACCATTTCAAAGCTCAAAACAGCAAAAACCCAATTCAAATTTGCAGTAACTAAATATGAAAATTAAAATTCTAAAAAAATATGAAAGCATCATACAATTTGCAACCTAGATTAATGGAATTTAGGAACAGAGATTATACCGGCAAATATGAAAGATCCAAATTGCGGAGCTCTTTACACTTTACAGCAACAAGTTCAACACCTAAATCTCCAATTCCCAAACACCATTTCAAGCCAATTGTCTTCAATTTAGGGCATCCAACAGCAATACAACCAATCCCAATATCAGTAATCAATTTACACCGCCCTAACCAAAGCTTCTCCAAATTCTTCGCTTCACCAATCGCCGCCGCCGCCGAATCCCGCAATTCCGTCGCATTCGACAAATCTAACGCCGTCAAACTCCGGCAATTCGCCACCAAAACCGCCAAACCATTTCCAGAGAAGAACTTCGACCTCGACAAATCGATAAAACGCAGCGTATTACCGCATGCCATAGCAATTACAGAGAGCGAATAATCGGTGATTCTAGGGCAAAGACTCAAATCTAGGGTTGAAATTTGCGGGTAACGAGTAAGAATTGAAGGCAAATGTTCAGAACGAAGAGGTTTTAGGGTTCTACGATGCTTCGATTCAATTGAATAAAACGATTTACATACTAAAGAGAATGATTTCTTGTCTTGCGGATTGTTGTCGTTGAGATAATCGAGGATAATAAATACGAGTTCTTCGCTAAGTAGATCGAACAAGTTGGTAAATGAAGATGAAGCTTCCGCCATTGTTGATCTCTGTTTCTTCATTTTGGAGCTTTAATGGCGGAAATTAGCAGAAAATTGAAGGGTTTAATTAAATTAAAATTTATTTAGAGTGATAATATTAATGATTAGGTAGCTGAAATGAGAGTTAACGGTTAATAGAGAGAGAAATGAGAGGAGAGAGAAAGCCGGGATAATAAGGAAGGTGGTTGATGAGAATATGAGAAGAGCAGAGTGTGATCGGAAAGGAAACTTATAATGAGTGTTAAATTTACATTGTTGTCCTTTTTCGCTTTTCTTTTCAAAAGTTAGGTCACTCTTTTGTCCTTTTTAGTTGTGGACAATATTGCCCTTCAAATTTTTTTTCGCCGTTTACAATACAATATGGAGAGAATGATGGCTAGCTCAAGTGGTTAGAATTTCCCTCCCGATTGATTCTCACCCTCGCCCTTGTGGCTCTTTAAACAACATAAAAAAAAAAAAACAATACAATATGGAGTATCACTCTATATAATCAGGCCTTGTTCATTTGAGTTAAGTTGTTCTGCTTTGCTGAAATTTGTTCTGCTTTGGTCTAAAATGAGTTGAAAGCTCTATTCTGCTCTGTTGAAATTTATTTTGCTCTGTTTTTTTGGAATCTGCTATGCTCTGCTCAGCTGACTTCTAATCTGCTCTACTCTACTTTACCATAGCTTAATAAAATAGGCCCTTACTCATTTCGTCCCATATTGTTTGTACCATTTGGCCCAAAACACTCACAAAAAATGGGTTCACGATGCAAACAAAAGAGGACTAAAGAAGTAAAATACATTTGTATAAGAATTGATGAGCAACTCAACTTATGACTTTGAGGTTACGAGTTTGAGCCTCATTAACTACTATTAATTGGGAGTAGGGGTTTTCACTTACCCTTCCTCCAATCCTCCCCTCCCCCCTCTCTACTCTCAAACGTTAATATGGAGCGTTGAGCTGACTTAACCTGTAAGAGATGTCTTCTATAGGTCGGTTCCTTCATCTTATCTTAAAAATATTTTAAATTAAAAATAAATTTTGATATATTAAAAAAATACTAAAATGTTAAATTTCAATTGTCATTTCCCCATGAATTCGAATGTAACAAACATAACTAAGGAAGGAAGTGCTACTTCTTAATCCTTAATCAATTTTCAAAACTAATTATCGCTAATTAACTATATAAACGTGTCATTGACACTCATCAAATCATCACATTTATATTTCAACTAAAAAATTAAGTATATTATTGCATTTCCTAGTATAGGATCGAAGAAATTTATTAGAACCCCTTGTGATTTTGAAACTTTCATCATATTTCCTTACACCTTAGTCTTACATGTGGTTTATGTACTCGACATACTATTCGTAATACATGTGATAAGTTAGTTTATAAGAATGAGTCACCATTAAAATCATCAATTTTCACTACTAATTGTCACTAATTAACAATATAAACTTATCATTGTCACTCATCAAAACATCACATTTATTTACATTTCAACTAAAAAATTAAGTATATTATTGCATTTCCTAGTATAGTGACAAGGGTTTGAAAAGAAAGAGCGATAAAATGAATATTAACAAAAATTGAGTTATCCACTATGATCCAAGAAATTTATTACAACCCCTTGTGATTTTGAACCTTTCATCATATATCCTTACACCTTAGTAGTACATGTGGTATATATACTCGATTATTCGTGATACAAGTGATAAGTTAGTTTATCAAAATGATTAAATGAGTCACCATTAAAAGTCCTAATCATTATTTTAATTTTTTTAATTTGCTCAAATCTACAAGATTATATTATGGTGAATTTTGTATGATAGTTTGGCCAAATTTCATTCACAATACAACTTGTTTTCCCACCTAATTTCAAACTCAATCCAATATATTTTTGAGAAAAATTTATAGAATCACAAAGATAGAAGATCAAGGTTTAAGGAAAAAAAAAATACCTTTGAGAAGTTGCTGGCTTCAAGTCATAAATTGAGCTAAAAAAAACTTTCAATGCATATAGAAGCTCAATGTTGGTTATTGTATATTTATATTACCTTTACCTTTTAAAAAACTATAATCAATTCGAGGAGGTTCTTTACGCATTTAAATAAGATTATGTTTAGTTTATTTAAGTTTTTTCTTTGTGTTTGGAGAACCACATGAGCAGGTAATAATAAAAATCGATCTTAGTGATTAGGGGATTTTTCCCCACCAATCACCATCTGACAAGTGGACCAATCAGGTTCCGCCATGTGTCCGTCACATGGGCCAATAGGAGCCTGCCATGTGTCAAGCCATGATCCGTCCACTATGGACCAATTACGACACGACACGTGTCCTTCCCATGACACCTGGAATAACCGGTCACCTAGGCCCAACTTCCGTGGGAAGCCTAATCAGCCCAAGGTTAACCTAAACCTAGATTGGCACGTTTCCCGAGGTTATAAATACCTCCCTTAATCCTCATTAAGGGAGATTACGCAGATTACACACATTAAACTCTCTCACCTAGAGAGACCCAATCACTTTAATTTCCGCATTAATTTCTCCTTAATCAAGTACTAACTTGACCGTCGGAGGCGGATCTCCAATCATCCGGAGCATCCGTTTGTTTTGCAGGTACAGGCGTCCGGTTCCAGTCTCGGAATTGTAACTCTCTCGCAGGACATCAGAAAACCCCGAAACATTTTGGCGCCGTCTGTGGGGAGAGTACTTCTGAGATGGCATCCACGTTTGTACCGGCTCCTGAAGAGAGACGTCCCCTAGACGACCCTCTAGTTCAGTCGGACAACGATACCGAGAATGAATTTGAAGTTGAAGCTCACACAGCTTCAGACGGGACCCTAAGGGCCCGACGTACCCGTCATACCGAAAGGAGGGAACGGGAACATCTTCAAACTGGAAGCGAGCCAGCAGGCGCACCGCCTGTTCGGCAGCAGCCGACTGATGGGTCTGCTCCCATCACAAGGAACGAACTCATGACCTTCATGAGGGACTTCAAGGGAGAAATTCAAGAGTTGATCAACAAAAAGCCGCCTGCTCTGGACAAGGAGCAGTCGGCTAAGAAACCCTCCACTTCACGGAAGAGGAAGCCAGTTCAAGGGCGAGAGGCGACCCCTCATCCTAAATCTAGGAAGTGGGAGCCACCTGCCCTTGATTTCACAAAATACCATTTTCCTACTCCAGGAAATAGGAAACATGTTCGTCATATTCAGGCGGACGGGTCGAGGAAAACATACACAGACGCTCGGCTACTGCTAGAGCAGAAGAAGAGTGACCGATTGTCAGAGTCGGCCTCTACTTCAAACTTCCAAGACAGTCTGCGAAATACCTCGATGAGGCATACTCAGTCGTATCATGAGAGTCAGTCAGGCGGCACCTCCCGTCAGTCCGGCTTTCATAGCGACCAGGCGGTACCAAACTTACCGTTTGTACCGCAACAACAGTATTTTTTACAGCCACCTCCGTTTGGTGGACATGCAGCAAAAAATGTCCAACCTATGGACTGGCAGCTACGGTTGCTTAGACTTGGTGAACAGCCGTCGGCCTTCTCCAAGGAAATTACTGAAGCTGCTCAGCCGGTCAAAGTGAAAAATGTATTAGTAGGCGCCTATGACGGCACTACTAACCCAGAAGACCATTTGATGGCATTCACCAACCTAATGTACCTTCAAGGGTTGGATGATCCCACTTGGTGCAAGTGTTTCCCAGCGACTCTCAAAGGAATCGCACAACAATGGTTCGGCAACCTGCCGACTGGTTGTGTAAATAACTTCAAGACGCTTGCTTACTTATTCACCTCCAACTTCGCCATGAACATCCCTGCGAAGAAGACGACCCTTGATTTAGGAACAATTCAGCAGGGCGAGAAGGAGGGGCTTCGTTCTTACATCAGGCGGTTTAACCTGATGAGAATACAGATTCAAGGGTTACCGGATGAAGTAGCCTATACTGACTTTTTCAGAGGTCTCAAAGACGGGTCGACCTTCAAATTTGTTTTGGTCCGAAAGAGGGTGGCGACTCTTCAAGAGGCCTTGATTGAAGCGGAAGCTTATATACAGGCGACTGATCTTTGTAGTACGGTAAAAAAGTCAGACGGGAGAAGGTCCGACAAAAGAGAAGGACGACAGAAACAGTCGTCAAACAAAGACGAGAAGAGAAAAGAGGTCTGGGCGGCTGATTCCTCTAAACAGCCGGCCCAGAAAAAGAAAAAAGAATTCAAACCATACTCCCCAAAGTATGCGTTTAACAAGGATAGCCAATTTATCCTAAAGGAAATCAAGGGACGGATCTCAATTGAGAAGCCGGTCCCCATGAAGGGTTCTGCAAACAACCGGAACCAAGAAAAATTCTGTGATTATCATGAAGATGTTGGTCATCACACCAATGAATGCATCAGTCTCATGCGGTATCTGGACCGCCTGGCTGAGCAAGGTAATCTTGACACTTATGTCAAGAAATCTATGGGGAACACTTCCTCGAAAAAAGCAGACGGCCAAAAAGAATCAACAGGCCGACAGTTCCGATACAGATGATGCAGTCGTCTACACCATTGCAGGCGGCTTCTCAGGAGGCGGCCCCACTATTAGGGGCAACAAAGACAATATCAGACGGTTAGATGTAAATTCCGTTCACCAAGAACGGCCCTCCAAATATTCATTTCCTGAGATTGTCATCACTGAAGAAAATCTAGGAGGGGTAAGAGGGCCGCATGACGACCCTATCGTTATTGAATGTAAAGTGGCCAACCAGAGAGTTGGCCGAATCCTCATAGATACCGGAAGCTCCTCAGATCTCGTCAGTAGCAAATGTCTGTCGAAACTAAAATATCAGACTGATTGCATACATCCGGCATCCCACCCTTTAGTAGGGTTTGGAGGAGGAGTCGTCCCCCCAGTGGGACGAGTGGATTTACCCATCCGCCTAGGCGAAAAAGGGGAAGGACGACACATGGTAGTCCGGTTCCTGGTAGTAGAAGAACTCTCGGCCTACAACATGATTCTGGGACGACCAACCCTGAATAATTCCAAGGCTGTTATAATCCCATCTCTTATGTTGCTCAAGTTTGAGAGGGATAATGGAACAGTCGGGTCCCTAAGGGGAGATCAGAGGATGGCCCGTGAGTGCTATCTCTCGGATGTCAAGCCCACTGTTATGGCCACTGGGTCGAGCGGTGGAAAAATAGACCTTGACAATGTCAAGGAGAGTGCGCCTGTTCAAGAAGCAGGCGGCAAGAAGAGAAAGGCATCCCAGACAGGGGCCGCAAGAAAAGACAGAAAATAGCAATCATTGGCAGAGGAGCGGTCGGATGAATTCCGCCCTCAGCCAGCTGGTGAGCATACGGACCTGATCTTAGATGACTCGCGTCCTGACAGAACAATCAAGGTTGGGACGACTGCTCTAAGGGACCTGGGTGACGACTTTCACAAACTATTGAAAGAATACA